CAAGCCCTAATCCTCACTCACCACCAGAAATCCAGATTCACCAACTCCACCTCACTATCAAAAGGTACCTTACATCTAAAATTATACTCACTAGAGTGAGACGTTACCTTCATTATTTCATTACTATACAATTTTACATATAAACACCAGAACTTCAAATACATGACATGCTTTTAAGATGGATTTCCTGCTGAGTTCATTGCTGTGAACAAAAGAGTGGACTCTGAAAGGAACATGTCCCACACTCCATACATGTAAATGGGTTCTCCCCTCTGAATCCTTAGATGTTCCTTAAACACTCCATTATAACTAAAGCACTTTCTGCAATCTTTCCCTTTAAACAGCTTCTCCTCTTTGAGGGTTGATGGGTTTGTAGGGTGTCAACTGTTAAAGTTCTTCCTGTCCATGAGTCTGTGGATGTAGGACTTCCACTAGGACTGAACCTCTGTCTACTTGACATTTATAGGGTTTCTCTCATGTGGGAGTCTGTCGACGTAAATCAAGGGTTCCACTCGGACTGAAGCTCCTTCCAAACTCCATACATTTAAATGGTTTCTTCCCTGTGTGTCTGCTGAGGTTTTCTAAGATTTCCCCTTTGACTGAAGCTTTTTCCGCACTTCATGCATTTAAATGGTTTCTCCCCTGTGTGAGTCCGCTGATGTCTTCTAAGGTTTGCATTGAAACTGAAGCTCTTTGTATTGATGGAAGAGATTCATAAAGACCAAGTGGGCTTTCTCCTGGGAAGACACTTGTCTGATAATTTGAGGAACATAATTGATATTTTGGAAAAACTAGAAGTGAATATAAACACTAAAGCAGTTCTGATATTTGTGGGTGCGGAGAAAGCTTTTGACAATATCTCTTGGAGTTTCATGAAGAAGAACCTACAGGGGATGGGGGTAGGCCAAGGTTTTGAAAATGGTATAGGTGCAATATATTCTGAACAAAAGGCTAAATTAATTGTAAATAATGTGGTGACGGAAGAATTTAAGATAGAAAAAGGGACACGACAGGGGTGCCCAATCTCCCCACTGCTTTTCATATCGGTCCTGGAGGTTCTGCTGAATATGATTAGAAGGGACCAGTTGGTTAAAGGTATACAGGTCGGAGCCAAACAGTACAAACTGAGAGCATTTGCAGATGACTTAGTATTGACGTTACAGGAGCCAGAATCTAGTACTAAAAGGGTTTTACAATTAATTCAAGAATTTGGTCAAGTGGCAGGATTTAAACTGAACAAGCTAAAAACTAAGGTTTTAGAGAAAAATTTAACACCGATTGAAAGAGAGAGGTTTCAGAATGAGACAGGCCTGACTGTGGTTAAGAAAGTGAAATACTTGGGGATTAATATGACAGCCAAAAATGGGAACTTATTTAAAGATAATTATGAAAAATGTTGGACAGAAGTGAAAAAAGATTTAGAAATTTGGTCAAATTTGAATCTTTCACTGTTGCGTCGTATTGCTGTGATAAAAATGAATGTATTGCCTAGAATGTTGTTTTTGTTTCAGACATTGCAAATTGTGGACAAGATGGAATGTTTCAAGAAGTGGCAGAGAGATATCTCTAGATTTGTCTGGCAGGGCAAGAAGCCCAGAATAAAATTTAAGATATTAACTGATGCAAAGGAAAGAGGTGGATTTGCCCTGCCAGACTTTAAACTTTACTATGAATCAGCAGCTTTTTGCTGGTTGAAAGAATGGCTACTTCTTGAAAATACAGACATTTTGGATCTAGAAGGCTTTAACAACGTATTTGGATGGCATGCATATTTATGGTATGATAAGGTCAAAGCACATAAAGCATTCAAAAATCATATTGTCAGGAAAGCATTGTTTAATGTTTGGATAAGATACAAGGATTTATTGGAAAATAAAACCCCACCGATGGAAGCGAAAGCTCTGAAAATCTCAATATGTAGGCCAAATGGCCGAAATATTGGGAAATATTGGGAAATTTTGGAACAAGAAGGAGATAGACTGAAACTGCAGAGTTTTGAGAAATTAAAAAACAAAGTGCGAGACTGGCTTCATTATTATCAGATAATGGAGGCATATAATTTGGATAAGAAAATTGGCTTCCAGGTGGAAACATCAAAATTAGAAACAGAACTGTTAGAACCCAAAACTAAGATTTTGTCAAAGATGTATAACTTGCTGTTGAAATGGAATACTCAGGATGAAACGGTGAAATCTGCTATGATTAAATGGGCACAAGATGTTGGACATAATATTATGTTTGCTGACTGGGAACAGTTATGGACCACAGGTATGACGTTTATGGCATGTAATGCCCTGAGAGAGAATATGATGAAAATGATATACAGGTGGTACATGACTCCAGTCAAGCTTGCAAAAATTTATCATTTGCCCGATAATAAATGCTGGAAATGTAAAGAAACTGAAGGTACAATCTTTCACCTTTGGTGGACGTGCCCAAGGATTAAGGCCTTCTGGGAAATGATATGTAATGAACTGAAAAAGGTATTTAAATATACCTTCTTGAAGAAACCAGAGGCCTTTCTTCTGGGCATTGTTGGCCAATTGGTGTCAAAGAAGGACAGAACTTTTTTTATGTACGCTACAACAGCAGCTAGAATACTCATTGCAAAGTATTGGAAGACACAAGAACTACCCACTTTGGAAGAATGGCAGATGAAAGTGATGGACTATATGGAACTGGCAGAAATGACTAGCAGAATCTGAGACCAGGGAGAAGAGTCGGTGGAAGAAGATTGGAAGAAATTTAAAGACTATCTACAGAAATATTGTAAAATTAATGAATGAAAGAATGATGTTGGATAGCAATTAAGGGTTCCCAGCTGTAATACTTTAAGAGAATATGAAAAAAGGGTTATAATTGGGTTAAAATCTAATGGTAAGGATTTGCTGAACCAATGAATTGAAGCTGAATACAGAAAAGGGAGGTATGAGGAGGTCCGGGAAATAAGCTAAAGGAATATAAGTAATAGAAAATAGGTGTGTTTTTAACTGTTTTTATTTTGTATTTTTCTTTTTCATTTTTACTGTAATATTTCAAAAAATCTTAATAAATATTATATATATAAAAAAAGAAAAGAAACTGAAGCTCTTTCTGCATTCCATGCATTCTTATGGTTTCTCCCCTGTGTGTGTCCGTTGATGTATATTGAGGTGTCCACTATGACTGAAGCTCTTTCCACATTCCATACATTTAAATGTTTTCTCCCCTGTTTAAATCCATTGATGTGTTTTAAGGTTTCCATTTCGACTGAAGCACTTTCCGCACTCAATGCATTTAAATGGTTTCACCCTTTATGAGTCCGTTGATGTTTTCTAAGGTTTCCAATCTGAATGAAGCTCTTTCCACACTCCATACATTTATATGGTTTCTCCCCTGTGTAAATCCGTTGATGTGTTTTAAGGTCTCCATTCTGACTGAAGCTCTTTCCGCACTCAATGCATTTAAATGGTTTTCCCCCTGTGTGAGCCAGTTGATGTCTTCTAAGGCTTGCATTGAAACGGAAGCTCTTTCCACATTCCATGCATTAAATGGATTCTCCCCTTTGTGAGTCTGCTGGTGTAATTTAAGGTCTCCTTTTTGACTGAAGCTCTTCCCGCATGCCATACATTCATATGGTTTTCCCCTGCCTGTGTGAGTCCGTTGATGTGATCTAAGGCCTGCATCGAAACTGAAGCTCTTTCCACACTCCATACATTTATATGGTTTCTCCCCTGTGTGAATCCGTTGATGTTTTCTAAGGTTTCCACTATCACTAAAGCTCTTTCCGCACTCCCTACATTTAAAAGGTTTCTCCCCTGTATGCGTCCGTTGATGCAACTTGTGGTTTCCAATCTGACTGAAGCTCTTTCCACACTCCATACATTTATATGGTTTTTCACCCGTGTGAGTCCGTTGATGTATTCTAAGTCTATCACTCTGACTGAAGCTCTTTCCACACTCCATACATTTATATGGTTTCTCCCCTGTGTGAGTCTGGTGATGTTTATTGAGGTGTCCACTCCGACTGAAGCTCTTTCCACACTCCATACATTTATATGGTTTCTCCCCTGTGTGAGTCTGGTGATGTTTATTGAGGTGTTCACTCCGACTGAAGCTCTTTCCACACTCCATACATTGAAATGGTTTTTCACCTGTGTGAGTCCGTTGATGTGAACTTAAGTGTCCACTCCGACAGAAGCTTTTCCCACACTCCATACATTGAAATGGTTTCTCCCCTGTGTGAATCCGTTGATGTTTTCTAAGATCTCCACTCTGACTGAAGCTCTTTCCGCACTCTATACATTTATATGGTTTCTCCCCTGTGTGAATCCGTTGATGTTTTCTAAGGTCTCCACTATCACTGAAGCTCTTTCCACACTCTATACATTTATATGGTTTCTCCCCTGTGTGAGTCCGTTGATGCATATTGCACTGCCCACTCTGAATGAAGCTCTTTCCACACTCCATACATTTATATGGTTTTTCACCAGTATGACTTCGCTGGTGTAATTTAAGTTCTGCATTACGCCTGAAGCTCTTCCCACACTCCATGCATTTAAAAGGTTTTTCACCCGTGTGAATCCGTAGGTGTGAACCTAACTGTCCACTCTGACAGAAGCTTTTTCCACACTCCATACATTGAAATGGTTTCTCCTCTGTGTGAATCCGTTGATGATTTCTAAGGTCTCCACTCAGCCTGAAGCTCTTTCCGCACTCTATACATTTATATGGTTTCTCCCCTGTGTGAATCCGTTGATGTTTTCTAAGGTCTCTACTTTCACTAAAGATCTTTCCGCACTCTATACATTTATATGTTTTCTCCCCTGTGTGAATCCGTTGATGTGAACTTAAGTGTCCACTCTGACAGAAGCTTTTCCCGCACTCCATGCATTTAAATGGTTTTTCCCCTGTGTGAGTCCGCTGATGTATATTGAGGAATCCTCTCTGACTGAAGTTCTTCCACACTCCCTGCATTGTAATCCTTTCTTGTCCATGTAAATCCGCTGATGTGTTCTAAGTTTTCCACTCTCAGCGAAACGTTTCCCACATTCCATACTTTTAAATGGTTTCTCCTCTCGGAGTCATTGATGTGAGCTATGTGTCCTCATTCAATGAAGCATATCCCACATTTCACACATTTTAATTTCTATTCCTCATGAAACGAAAGGTGCCCCATCCCCTGGAATCCTGAATGTCTTCTCCATCACCTTCTTCAGAGTGGGAGGAAAGGAAATCCTGTTTGGGTTTCAAGGAAGAGAACAAAGGGAAAGAGAACACATCAAGCGCCATTAGCCCTTCTCCTATTTCAACATCTCCTACATTCCCCCGCCTCCTACCCATGTTCCCAATTTTTTGGAAATGAAAAAGCAATGTCATCAAATGATAGTAATTGATCACCACCTTTCATAATCCTCAACCATTGTTAATAAAGCAGCATGATCTTGGAATACAGCCTTTTCAAATCAATTGTTTCCTCACAGGAAAGGCAGCTGCTCTCTGTCCATGAACAGGCCCTCTCTTTCTCTGGTCCATCGTTCCTTTGGACATTCCCCATCCTCTGTATCATAATCCTGCATCCACCTCTAGATCTTTATGAATCACCTGCACAGTCTCATTGGCCACAAGAGGTCCATGTGGACCATTTTGGGAGGCCCAGGTCTACATCTTCTCCAGGGACTGTGGTCTGGGTCAGTCAGAGAACTAGTGACAAGGCTTGGTGCTTAGGGACAGCTGAATGGGTGCTCAGGGAAGCTCCTGTTCTTGGAGATGGACCTCCGTCTACATGCCTCACATTGCATGGAGAGAGCAGGAGAAGCAGAAGAAAAGCAGCTGGCACATCGGAATCCCAGACCCCCACTGTTCCTTATGATAATGATGGGCTGCCTGATCTCGAGCCCATCCTAAGGTGACACTGAAAAAGCTGCATATTAAAGGCAAATGGATAACTGTACTAGTGAAAACTTCAACCTTGAATATGTAGTGTTGAATTATCAATCAATTTCCTTTATTCGACCGATAGTCAGAAATAAAACATTACACAATAATTATAAACTATAACATCATAGGGGTACATAAATAAGGTAGGGCCACAGTACTAGACCTCTCACAGCTAACCCACATCAAGGCTTTCAGTTAAACGTTTCCGACGCTTGAGTGCCAGGAAAAGAAATTTAGCCACTGACAAAGTTGTTTTCCCAGAAGACTTATTTAGCAGATATGCTGTCTGCTTTTCCTCTTTGTCGGGAACTGAGCTGGGGTAAGTATGGAGTTATAAGCTATTGTCTTAAATCGTTGTAGATGGGACAGCTCAGTAAAATGTGCTCTGTGGATTCTACCTCACCCAACGCACAGTGGCATAATCTCTGGTCATATGGGACTCCTCCATATCTTCCCTTCAGAACCGCCGAGTCAAGAACATTCAGCCTAGCCGCAGTAAATAGTCTGCGGTATTCCACGTAGTGGATATCCGCCAGGTAGCGAGCTGGAGCAGCCCGATACAACTGCTCCCCCAGAAACAACCCAGGTTTCACACGGGCTATGTCCTCCTGTCTGGCAATATCCCTTAATCTTTGAGCGATCACCGTCTTTGCGTGGCTATACGTCATGGACTCTATATAAAGGGAGGACAACCCGCACTTCTGCACTTTCTCCACTATCTCCCCTTCCCATGGAGATTTAAAGTTATCGCTCAGAATCAAGGGGGCCAAACCCACCAGTCTGAAACAGAGCTTGAGCCATAGCCATAGCTTCGCTTTCAGGGCCACATACCTAAAGGCTTGACAACCGGTTTCCAGTCTCATGATCGCGCCTGCCACGGAGGGGGGATCCTGAGTATGGCCCTGAGGAATTGGGTTTGGATAGATTCCAATTTTTCAAAGTCCCTACGTGAGCCCAAGGCAATGCCCACCAGCAGAAGAGGGAGGACTTTCATTTTAAAGAGTTGTAAGGCAACTTTGACAGTTTGTGCCTGTTTCTTGGAGTACAGGGTTCTAATCACCAGGGCTGCTTTGGATGCGTTTGAGGCTATGTATTCTCTGTGCGCCAGAAAGGACCTATTTGATCTTACAACCTGACCCAGGTATTTGAAGCAACTGACCTGCTCTAAAGGGATACCATTAATTGACCATAAATTAGGTTTCAATCGAGCAGCAAAGACCATTATTTTGGTCTTGGCATAATTTAGTTGCAGCTCGTGTTGGGTCTCATATTCATGAAGAGCTCGAAGCATCCTCCTTAATCCGATGGGGGAGGTAGCTAATAGGGCGGCATCGTCCGCATACAGTAGGACATTCAAGGCTTGTCCTGCCAGTTTTGGTGGATGGAAATCAGCATTTGCCATATGCACCACTAGCAAATGAATATAGAAATTAAACAGAGCAGGGGCAAGCAAACAGCCCTGTCTTACCCCCCTAGTGGTGGCAACCGGATTGGAGACTAGCCCCTTACTATCTAGCCTAATCCTCAGGAGGGTATTTGTATGCAAATTAATAATCAGCAGGAGAAGGCGGCGGTCGATAGATGTCGCTGCCAATTTTGTCCATAGCTGGTTCCTGGGAATTAGATCAAAGGCCTGCTTAAAGTCTATAAAGGCGACGTGGAGGGCTTTTAGGCCATTGCCAGCGTACTTGGTGGCCAAGTGATTTAGGATTAAGATTTGGTCTGTTGTTGATCTTCCGGGGCGGAAACCCGCCTGTTCCTCTGCGATGATATTGTTGCTTTCCATCCAGGTCGTTAATTTGTTAACTTTAATAGATCTTCCCGATAACATTTAACAGGCTAATTGGTTTAAAATTGGCCGGGTCTGTGCGCGGCCCTTTCTTGTGAATTAACACAATCAGTGCAGAGTTCCAGCTTGGAGGAAATTGTGCTGTTTTGTTTATATAAGTAAAAAGAGCTGCTAGGGGTGGACACCACCAATCCTTGTTGGCTTTAATAACATCTATGGAAATAAGATCGTCTCCGGGTGCCTTGCCCGCCTCAAATTGGCCTATAAGTGTTTCCACTTCAGAGCAGGTGACGGGATCCCACTCTGGCAAGGGGGCCAAATCTAACCTTCCTCCGCTGGCTGCGTGAGCTGCATATAAATCGGAGAAGAAGCTTTCCCAGGTGTCAGCTTGAAATTTGGGGTTCTATCCTTGACAACGGTCTACCCAGGTATTGAGAAATTTGGTGGCAAAAGGAGGAGGGATTTCTATTTTCTGCAGCTTTTAGAAGGTTCTTCCAATCATTTCTTTCTGCCGCAAGCTTCTTTTCCTTTAATAGTGCTTTATACCTTCTCTTGAGGTTCATAAGGTGACTGCTAGGTGCGGGGTCATTTGATGCCCTATATGCCAAGAATTCATTATATAGGTTGTTCTTGAAGTGCCTACATTCCTCATCAAACCACTTTTTTATGAGAGAAATGGTTACTATTCATCACCGGGGTCTTAGCCACGAAGGTTTTAGCAGTTCTACTAAATTGTCATATAATGGCAGTGGCTCAACTGCCTGGATAAGGGAGTCCCTTGTCTCTTGCAGTTGGTCAGACCAAAGGAGTTCATTTATCCGTTGAGCCATATTGTCGGTCCATTTTAAGGCAGTGGGCCTCATCTGAAGCTGGTTATTTGTAATAGGCACACGGGAATAGGTAGCCAATTCTCCATCCAGGGTCAGAGAGAGTTCTAATGGAAAATGGTCACTTTCCAGCCTCGTTACCACCCTAAAGTTGGAAATTTTGGGAATTAGGTCTACTGATGTCCAAATAAAGTCTATGGTAGAGGCTCGGGAGCCTGACCAGAAAGTAAATTCGGCAGGGTAATCAGAACTGAGAGCTCCGTTTAGAAGGTGAAAATTAAGAGCCATCAAAGTTTGTCTACATTTAAAACCTGCGTATGTAGCAACACTGTCTTTAAAGTTCCTGGGTAAAAGGTCTGAGGTTAAAATGGGTAGTGAGGGATATTTATTATATTTAGCAAATAATGATTTATCAGAGTGAGACAATCGACCGCTGAAATCTCCTGTAACTAGGAAGGTGGCTTCAGGGTATTTCTCTAGGAGAGTTTCAAGAGTCAGTTGAATTCCCCTCCATCTTTGGTCCACCAGGTTTTTCTTATAGATTGGGTGCAAATAAACATTAATCACCACGAACACTTCCTCCGCTGTTTGTAGCTTTACACCCAGCATGGATGATGACTGGATGTCGATTTGTTCCACCTGCAGATTTAAGGCCAAAGAAACTAAGATAGCCAACCCACCTTGTGGTCTGCCAGGTGATAGTAAATTCTGTTGTGCATTCAGGTAGAAGCCCTTATACCCTGATTGGGAGAAGCCCTCACAAGCCCAGGTCTCTTGCAGCAAAAGAATACGACTGCCTTTTATGTAGGCGACAAAGGATGGATCCATCAGCTTAGGTTTAATGCCAGCTACATTCCAGGATAAGAAAGTAAGCAATCTCCTGGTCACCCCTTCGAGTCATGCTGGGCCTTGCGGAACCAGCACGGCAGAATCCACCTGGGAATGCATGCGGCGAGGGGGGGCAATAGGCTGGAAGAAGGAAGTGATTGTAGCTTGCTTACCAGGCAATTTCCGAGCACCACTTACCGCAGCAGCAGCCATGGAATGAGGCTTAATTATTGGTAGCTGCAGGGATGGATTCTGGTGCACGGGAGTATCACTTAACGACAGGTCCATAGACTCTACATTTAAAGTATGCTCTAAGATTGAGGGGGGTGGGCCTTTTGGATCTGCGGTTGCTGTGGGGAACATGCAGTGTAAGGCAGGTGGAAGGCATCCTTTTCGGTTTGCCTCCAAAAGAGCATTCAGTCTTGCCACAGCTTCCGAGTTTGACCAGAGGGTTGTCGAATCTTCCACTGTATCCTGCCCGGACTTGACATCCCGAGGCCGTGTATAGCCAGGTTGCAGATCAGAGGTCGTTAAAACAGGTACCACTTGGGCTTGTGTAGACTGATCTACAATTGGTGAGGAATTCATCTTATTTACATGAGCATGCTCTTCTGAGTTATGGAGACAGAGTAGCAACTCGTCCAATCTGTCCGTTATCTCTGTTCGCTCCCATTTTGGCAGTTGGGAGAAGGATAGAAGTAACTCACGCTCCGTAGAATTCTCCAGATGTATAGCCTTTGTCAGTGGAGGCAGGGGGGGCGTCAATCCAGCTGATTAGATCTGCGGCCAGGGGAGTTGGGGTCGTGGCAATTGGCGGACCCTCAGACTTGTCTGCTTTCTTTTTGAGCAAGCAGTTTGGTAAGAGGGGGCAGATCTTGGTATTGGTAAAGACTCTTGTAGCAAAGATTCCATAGTTAATTAGAAGGCTTCTTGAGGACATAATAAGTGCAGGGAGCTTTTTGGTTTTAAAGGAGAGCAGCACTCTCTGCCTCTGAGGTCTGCTGCTAATATGATCAGTATACTTCAGGTCAATAGAGCTAGGGATTACCCTCAGAAACTCCGCTAGATATCTCCTTATATCACTCTTATAATGCCAGTTTATCACCTTGCCTCTAAAGGGGCAAACCGTTAGGCAGATTTTGGTAGCTTGCAGCAGCAGTTTGTGAGGAGGTGTAAAGTGTTGTTCCTTCTTATTTTGCTCACTTTGCTCGCTTTTCTGATTATAATAATGATGGGCTGCCTGATCTCGAGCCCATCCTAAAGTGACACTGAAAAAGCTGCATATTAAAGGCAAATGGATAACTGTACTAGTGAAAACTTCAACCTTGAATATGTAGTGTTGAATTATTGATGGCCTGAAGTTGTGTTATTTCTAGAGACATGAATTCATTCCGATTCTGTCTCAAATATAGCTATTATATGATGTCATGAGGTGTCATGGGAGCGGTAGTACCTTTGGTGGTCCCCACCCTGCACTCAGCTCTCACCTGTGCCTTCCAGAAGCTGTCAGGATGAATCAGGGGCCACAATCCCAGGAATGGCTTCAACCGGCTGGCAAAACCAGGTGAGGAAAGCTGATGGGTCTCAAATCCTTGGGGGGCTGGGGAATTCTGCTGCACCTGAAGTCAAGCCCTGGTGGATGGAGAGGATGAGAAGAACAGTGAATCCCACAGTCTAGAAGGCAGATTCTGCCCGTGCTGAAGAGGAAATGAAGGGCCGATGGGATCGTCAACCGGGGAAGGAAGCCCATCGAGAAGGAAATCTCTGGTCCTAAACCTTCACTGCCTCGTGAGTTATGTTCAGGAGAAGAAAAGGCTATGGAGGGAAACCCACACAAATCCAGAGTGGAGTCTCTAAGACGGTTGGATGGTGTCCTGCACACCTTCTTCATTCAACTCCTGCAGCCAAGCTGGTGCCAAACATACTGCTCTGCTTTCCTTGGGACCATATCAGCCGGGCTGAGAAGGGGGTCTGGTTGTCTAGGCAGCCCAGGACCCCCAAACCCACTGCCCAGGCTGGCAGTGCTACAAACACAGCAGTTTCAAGTGGGGAGATGGGCTCAGAGCTGTGTATCAAAGTCTCTCCGATGTGGAACAAGGGAAACAGAAGCAAAATTTACATCATAAAGGTAAAGGTAAAGAGACCACTGACTATTAGGGAGCCAGCGGCATACAGCTTCCGGGTCATGTGGCCAGCATGACTGAGCCGCTTCTGGCGAACCAGAGCAGCGCATGGAAACGCCGTTTACCTTCCCGCCGGAGTGGTACCTATTTATCTACCTGCACTTTGACGTGCTTTCGAACTGCTAGGTTGGCAGGAGCAGGGACCGAGCAATGGGAGCTCACCGCATCACGGGGATTTGAACCGCCGACCTTCTGATTGGCAAGTCCTACGCTCTGTGGTTTAACCCACAGCGCCACCCGGATCCCATATTTACATCATACGGCACTGTAAAAGTATTCAAAATATTTGTTTTTCGAAGAAAATACCACAATGTATCATGTGGCCCCTTCAAAGCTAATGAAAGTCTTGTGGCTGGAGCTTTTGGGGGTGCAGGACCAAGAAAGCTCCTGCCACCATGATCTTTCCAATTGGGATTCAGGCCTCATCATGGGACTGAAATTGCCCTGGTTGTGCTGGTTGATGATCTCCAACGGGCCAGAGGCTGAGGGGGGAAGCTCTTTCCTGGTTCTGCTGGATCTCTCAGCGGCTTTGGAGACCTTTGGCCATGGTGTCCTTCTGGACCCTCTAGGGGAGCTGGGGGCCCTGCTCTGCAGTGGTTCCCCTCCTTCCTCCTGGGCCATGTCCAGAGAGTGGTGTTGGGGGATGAGTGTTCAGACCCCTGGGCTCTCACTTGTGGGGTGCCTCAGGGCTCCGTCCTCTCCCCCATGCTTTTTACTATCTCTTCCTTTCTTTTTTTCCCCAATTTTTTTTATTAATTTTCCAAACAATTATACAATTTTCCAAAATACAACAGATTACTTCTTTTTTTTTTTTTGAACTTCCTTCAGCGTCTCTGACAATCATCCATATTTATAACTGTAGTTACACATTCCTCCTTTCGTATTGCCATTACACTTCCCTTCTCCCACTATTTCCCTTTAACAATACTTCTCCGTTTTTACAGTGCCTCTTGAAATCCCACTAGCGTTGTGTTCACACCACATATGTTTTTCAGCTAATCTACAAACTTTCCCCAGTCTTCGATGAACTTTTGGTCTTTGGTATATCTGATTTTCCCAGTTAATTTATCCAATTCCGCATCGTCTGTCATTTTCAATCTCATTTCTCTTCCTTTCTTTTAAATTGGAACTAGTGAAGATGGTGAATGCCCTGTGTGTCTGTTTGGAGGTGGTTGGAGGATGGATGGCGGCTAACACATTGAGGTTGAATCCTGACAAGTCAGAAATACTGTCCCTGGGGGAGGGTGGGAGCCTTCCTGGTCCTGATGGGGTAACTGTGCCCCTGAAGGACCAGGTGTGCAGCCTGTGGGTCACCGCCATCTGGGATCCATTTGTGAACAGATTGTGTGAGTAAACTCTTTTTATACTTTTATAGAAGATTGTGTCGTGTCTTATCTTTTTATGAGGGACTAAAGTTATTTTGGAATTCGTACTGCTATATCAGCTCACAAAATCTTATGGGTGGAGAAAATCACAGGGTTGCTGTAAAATATAATCCCACCCACGACTTCTCATTTATATACAGTCTGTAAATTTGGGGAGGTCACACACTTCACCTGTGCTAATACTGGCAGTCTTTGGCCTCCACAGGCACACCCGGTGTGTAGAGCCTCCAGTCACAGGCACTGTCTATCATGAAAATGGGTCCTTTGACTGGGAAGATGACACGCAGCGTAAATTAATAATGCAGAGTTTTAAAGAATAAAAGCTTTACTGAATTAAAATAAGCTTCTTCATAAACAACATGGTTCCAAACAGTTTGACTGAGATTGCATAGAGACTCTGCTCACGGCTGAGACAGACAGACTCTTGCTCAAATCTTACAGAGAGCACAAAGTGCAACTGGCTACTACGTCAGAATGACTCCACAGTTAGCAGTTAAGCCTGAATAAATTGAGGAGGCCCAAATGACTGTGCAGTCCCTGCACTTCCCAGCCTGCTTGGCTGCTTCTGCTCTCATGTGTCTTTGTCACGTGACAAAAGATTCATTCAGTCGCTGTCATCGGATGCTGATGGGTTGTATCGCAGCTTGTCAGTCACTCTGACATTGGCTACAAAGAACGAGAGGAACAGAAATGCTTTTGAGGTGCAACTTCTCTATCAATCCTGAGAGCCATTCCATGGACTCTGCACCCCTGTTTCTGATGACAGGTGTACATTATCCTCATCCTCAGCGGAAAAGACAATAAAGATGGAAGCCTGAGAGAGAGGAAAAGGCTTCTGGCTGCTTCCTGGGTGGGATTGCGGAAACCAAGAGCCGCTTCTGAGAAGGCCTCTCCCCTCCTCTCTTGTCACGGCTAAAAATTGGCCGCTGTTTCTTTACTGCTTAAAAAGCTGCGGGTTGTATATATAGAGTGAGAAATGTTAGTTTGGTGTTGGGTTGGTTGGTTGGTGAAAGCTGGCAATGTTGATGTGTGTAACCTGAAACTGTTCTTAACCTGAAACTGTTCCATTCGTAACCTGAAACTGTTCTTAACCTGAAGCACCACTTTAGCTAATGGGGCCTCCTGCTGCCACCGCACCGCCAGAGCAAGATTTCTGTTTTCATCCTGAAGCAAAGTTCTTAACCTGAAGCACTATTTCTGGGTTAGCAGAGTCTGTAACCTGAAGCGTCTGTAACCTGAAGCGTCTGTAACCTGAAGCGTCTGTAACCTGAAGCATATGCAACCCGAGGTACCACTGTAAAAGCAGAAAGGATGCTCTTCTCGTGGACTCTTCTATGCTGACAAGGGTCCAAGGACCAGGCTGAGGCCACAAAGGGAGGCCAGAACCTTCTCTTTTCTTTTCACAAATACTGACATCTCTTCCTCTGGACTTCCTCTCCTCTCCAGGGGACCAATGGTTGGACTGGGCAGAATGGCTGTGTCTGGACAGGGCAGGGGCTTATGGGGCAGGAAGAGGATGGAGATTGCAGGAAGGAAGGGGGACAGGACCCCCCACTTTCCAGGGATCCCTCTCTGGTCGCCTTGAAGGGGGGGTCGATTACTGGGCGGGAGAGAGAGGCCAAGGCTGTTCCAACAGAGATGGAGACGCGATATCTCCCCCCCCCCGCCGCCAATGTTGCCCTTCCCTGCCCCAGGGATGCTCCTCTCCCTCCCCCCCCACTTCCTTGACCCCATTCCTCTCTCCAGGAGTCTCCCCTGCATCCAGAGGCTCCCTTGGCTCTGCTCACCTCACACCCTGCGCCCCCATCTCTCCAGCCGGAGGCCCCCCCCCAAAGACAAGCAGGGGAGGGGCAGGGGGGTCTCTATCCCTCGTGCCCGTTAACCCTTTCGTGGCCCACCTCTCTCTGCGCGGAGCCCCCAGCGCTCCGGGGATGCCTGCGCGGGGGACACGGGGCGATGGGGTCCTCATTGGGACTCCCTGGGTGGGGGTCCCATGCCCGCCCCCGCCAAGGCGCCTAAGGGGCCGAGAAAAGCTCCCTTCGCAGGACGCGTGCCGGGATCCAGGCCCCACGGAAGGCGCTTGGGGGAGCTGGAGGGGTCTCTGGGTCCTTTCCCCCCCTCTCCGCCCCCCCCCCCGCGACCCCTTTACCTCTTTCTCCTCGCTCCCGATTCTCCTTTCCTGCAACATCCACCGGGGGGGGTCCCCTGCCTCCTCCCTCCCCTTTCCGAAAGCGCCCCCCCCCCGAGCTACGGGGCAGAGCGGCAATTCGGAGTGGAAGCTCCACTTCCGGAAGAAGGTTGGGAGGGGGGCTCCCCGCCCCACATTTCTGGAGCAGAAACCGGATTGGAGGAGGAGGAGGAAGAGCAATGTATTGGGGGTGTGATTTGGGATTGTGTGGGCGGGATGAGAGAAGGGTGTGCCGGGAGGGGAGGGAAAGTGTTGAGCGGGTGGGGGGGGGAGGAGAGGAACCCCCCCCCCCGTCTTCCTTCTGGGGATCAGGAGAGGGGGGAGGGGCTGATCCCGACAATCCAACAGCGAAGTCACAAAATGAGTTCTGCATTTAAATCAGATCAGACTCCGAGTTCTTGTTTTGGCAACATGACAGGTCTGTCCGTCGGGACGCCTGAGGATTCCTGCTCCCTGCCTTTTCTGGGCCAGCCGGAGAGATCACTGGAAAGGGAGGATTTCTTGACTCCAGAATCCATCACCGCAGACCCGTTTCATTCAGGCCTAGAGATCTGCTCTTTGGACGAGTCTGCTTGGATCATGTGGATCATCAATGGATCATATGAATCATCACTGGATCATCCATGATGTTATACCCGTCTCACGGATGGGGGGGCTCAGGATGAATCTCCTGCCACGTGACTGGGGGAGTCTGGGGGTGACGGGGGTCAGACAGGGCTGCTGTTTTGCTCTCCTTACTATTTCAGCTCAGGTTTTACTGAAATGGGTGGATTCATTGAGGAAACGGGGCTACGTTGCAAAGAGGCAAATGTGTCTACTTTGTTACCACCCAGGGAGTTGTGTTGCAAAGGCCATTTGCAGAAAGGCTCCAATTGTATCACCTGCGGCTACATGCCGGAGTTTTGGTCTTTTTGAGGAAATGTGCCTGTGTAAATGCACTCATCCCCGTGCATTTATAATTGCATGCCATTAAATCCCATGAGATGTGCAAACTGGCTGCTTTTGGAAGCACCACTCTGCAGCCCTGCCTGATGCACGCTTACTTAGGAGTAACCCCTACGCGGTTCAAAGGGATTTGCCGTTCCATCTGATGCACGCTTACTCAGAAGTAAGTCCCCATAGTCGCCTTTGGCTGGGCTTGACCAGGGGTCCTTTACCTTGGGTAACAGGGGCCAGCACCCTGCTGCAGCCCCAGGCCCTGCTGGCTGGTCACATCTTCCACGCCAAGAAACTGGGCAGAGCCTTTAGGAGCCTCTGGCTGAACCTGCTGCTCTTCTCCCTGGCACCGCCATCTCCACGCAGGTGCCCCCTAGGCAGATGGGCCTGCAGTTCCCCTCAGTGCCAGCCAGCACGATACCTGCACTCAGAAAACCTGGAGGGCACTGGCTGAAGTCTGGGAGCCCTCAGTGCCAATGCGCAGCTGCTTTGCTTTTCCTTAGCCTGGCGGACATCAGCACAGCACCCTACAGGGGGGTGGTCTCTTGTTCAGATGCCCTCCCTGGGGAAGAGTCGTTGGCCACAGGAAAGTGTGCCAGGAGGGGCCATTGAGAGGGCAGTGCAGCACAGCCAGTGGGGAGAGTGCCTTCCTTGGGTGGGGTGGGGGGAGCTTGGATGGCCCCCTGCCTGTGATGCTTAGCTGAGATTACTACTATGCTGGGGGTTCAACTAGATGACTCAGGAGGGCCCTCCCTACTTTACAGTTCGAAGCCCCCGCACTGCCCACTCCACACCACCCAGATGGGACTCTCTTGTCCAACCCCACAAGGCCATTCCTCTGTCTGGACGGGGAGGGGGAGATAAGGTTCGCCAGCACTGCAGCCCCTAACTTCCCCTCCTCACGTTTCAAGCTGGGGCAGAGATGCAGATGCTCCAGGGTCTGGGCTGGCCACAGGCCCCCATGGGCGTGGATGTTGAGCCTTTCTTTGGGAGGGGGGGTGTTACAGAAAAATCTAGGTGCGAGGCTGCTCAGTCCACCAGCTCGTCGTGCTGACCCTGCGGGTCCCTGTGGTATAAAGGAAGGAGTCCAGCCAACCGGAGCAAATAAAGAGAGATTGCAAGGAGAGAGATAGCTAGGAGCTCCAAAGGGACTTCTCCAAATGGAGTGAATGGGCCGAAAATACAGTTCATTGTCAATGAGATTAAAGTGATGCATGTTGGGACAAAAAAACCCTACGCCCGTTAATATTGTTACCGGAAAAATCTGAGGGCTCCCTTGGACAAAAAGTAAAGACACCAACCAGAGTAAATTGAAGCAAATCAGCAGCCTGTAGGCTTGGTCTTTATTGAAGAAAGACTGTCGCGACAGGGTGCTCCCCTCACTTGCAGGTGAGAGGAAAGACCCAGAAAAATAGTGGGCAAGGTCTTATAAAAACTTTTGAAAATTTCCCTCCTCTAGATCAGGCCCACCCCCAGAAACATCATGCATACATTACAGAAAGGAGGGGTTGAGGGAGGAGTTGGTGGTAACCTAAGTGTCTTGTCACCTGGCTGGTTCCTCCTTTCCCCCCTCCCCATGAATCACTTCCAGGAGACAAAGGGGAGTTTGCAGTTTCCTGCTCCCAGAGGGAAGATCTTATCATTGTCCTTTGTTTCAGTCCATGCTGAATCCACTCCCATATGCAAGTTCTTTGTGATCTTGATTGTCTTCTGTCTGGGATCATCAGGGTTGGCATAGCAACTGGGCAGGGCTCCTGCAGATGTGCTGAGACAGTGAAGTTTGTACAAACAGAATGATTGGGGTGGGGGGGTTCCTGCTACAATATAATGTACAGGCTCATGGGTCCGAATTGGATTTCTCTGTGTGCTTGGGCCAGACCCTGATGTTGGGAAAGATGGAGGGCACAAGGAGAAGGGGACGACAGAGATTGAGATGGTTGGATGGTGTTCTTGAGGCTAGCGGCATGTCCATGGGGTCACGAAGAGTCGGATACAACTAAACGACTAAACAACAACAACAAGTGTGCTCTGGGAGACCAGGGGAGAGGGGAGCTGGTCACAGCAGGAGGGGGAGTCTCCCTGGATGCTTCAGCAGCCAGCCTCCTCTGGGTCTCCTGGCCCCCTCCTCTCCCCTCTCTGAGCCTAAACTGCTCTCTGCCCCAGCCTCTTCCTGCTCACCAAACCCTGTTTCCTCCTCAGCTTGCAACACCTCCCCTCCCATTCTGCTCCCTTTCCTCCCTCTTTCTGCTCACTGCCATCCCACCACAAGTCCCCAGGATCTAAGCCTTCTTCCCTTGTAGGTCCCCCAACTGGTGCCCCCCCCCCTGCACCCAGCGGTTCCATGACAGCAAAAGCAGAAACAACAGTAAAATCAGTATGATAGCAGTATGAACTGTGGGCCTCTGGTAGGAAAACTCCCTAGCAGCATGACTGAATAAAAACTTCTGGGACTATGGGAAAATACTACATTCCCCAAACCCCAGAATAAGGAGGAGCTCTGGGGTTGCCCCATGGGGTTCAAGAGTGAAGATGGGCCCATCAGGAGACTTCCCTGGTCCCTGCAGCCCCTCCTTTCCCCTCTTGCAATTAGGCTTGGGGGGAAATCACCCATTAACTTACAGTATTATCAGTTTTCTTCAGAATGCTTAGGAGGCAGGGATGAAGTTTGGGTGAAGAATCAGTGCTTGGAGATCATGCGGTGGGGGGATGACAGAGTTTGGTGCAAAAACCGTCTTGCATGCTTGAGTAGAGCAACTCCAGGGCATGGGCCAAGTAGCAGCAGGGTAGGGGCCACGTGCAGAGCAAGTCCCACACTGAGGTCAGAAACACACAAAGAGAGGCAGCAGGACTTCTTCAGTTATACTTTACTGAGCTTTCAAAGCATACAGTTCTCACTGGGTCCCCAGTGAGGCACAAAACGTAGCTCCTGAGAGCAAATCCAGTTTCAGCAATATTAAAATACAGCACACAGGATATCCAAGTCAGGCACACAAACCGGCAGAAGGGAGCAAGGGAGGAAAGAGGCTGGAAGGACACAGGGCAATGGATGTGTGTCTTTCGCTTCCTGTCATCTGGGAGGGAAGTCAGCAACTCGAAATCTGCAGGGGCTTCATGAAGAAAAGCTTTCTGCCGGCTGCTTCCAGGCAAATGAGCATCCCAGAAATCCAGATTCACCAACTCCCCCTCACTATCAAAAGGTACCTTACATCTAAAATTATACTCACTAGAGTGAGATGTTACCTTCATTATTTCATTACTATACAGATTTACATATAAAGAGCAGAACCTCAAATACATGACATGCTTTTAAGATGGATTTCCTGCTGAGTTCATTGCTGTGAACAAAAGAGTGGACTCTGAAAGGAACATGTCCCACACTCCATACATCTCAATGGGTTCTCCCCTCTGAGTCCTTAGATGTTCCTTAAACACTCCATTATAACTAAAGCACTTTCTGCAATCTTTCGCTTTAAACAGCTTCTCCTCTTTGAGGGTTGATGGGTTTGTAGGGTGTCAACTGTTAAAGTTCTTCCTGTCCATGAGTCTGTGGATGTAGGACTTCCACTAGGACTGAACCTCTGTCTACTTGACATTTATAGGGTTTCTCTCATGTGGGAGTTTGTTGATGTAAATCAAGGGTTCCACTCGGACTGAAGCTCCTTCCAAACTCCATACATTTAAATGGTTTATTCCCTGTGTGTCTGCTGAGGTTTTCTAAGATTTCCCCTTTGACTGAAGCTTTTTCCGCACTTCATGCATTTAAATGGTTTCACCCCTGTGTGAGTCCGCTGATGTCTTCTAAGGCTTGCATTGAAACTGAAGCTCTTTGTATTGATGGAAGAGATTCATAAAGACCAAGCGGGCTTTCTCCCGGGAAGACACTTGTCTGATAATTTGAGGAACATAATTGATATTTTGGAAAAACTAGAAGTGAATATAAACACTAAAGCAGTTCTGATATTTGTGGATGCGGAGAAAGCTTTTGACAATATCTCTTGGAGTTTCATGAAGAAGAACCTACAGGGGATGGGGGTAGGCCAAGGTTTGAAAATGGTATAGGTGCAATATACTCTGAACAAAAGGCTAAATTAATTGTAAATAATGTGGTGACAGAAGAATTTAAGATAGAAAAAGGGACACGACAGGGGTGCCCAATCTCCCCACTGCTTTTCATATCGGTCCTGGAGGTTCTGCTGAATATGATTAGAAGGGACCGGTTGGTTAAAGGTATACAGGTCGGAGCCAAACAGTACAAACTAAGAGCATTTGCAGATGACTTAGTATTGACGTTACAGGAGCCAGAATCTAGTACTAAAAGGGTTTTACAATTAATTCAAGAATTTGGTCAAGTGGCAGGATTTAAACTGAACAAGCTAAAAACTAAGGTTTTAGAGAAAAATTTAACACCGATTGAAAGAGAGAGGTTTCAGAATGAGAGAGGCCTGACTGTGGTTAAGAAAGTGAAATACTTGGGGATTAATATGACAGCCAAAAATGGGAACTTATTTAAAGATAATTATGAAAAATGTTGGATAGAAGTGAAAAAAGATTTAGAAATTTGGTCAAATTTGAAGCTTTCAATGTTGCGTCGTATTGCAGTGATAAAAATGAATGTATTGCCTGGAATGTTGTTTTTGTTTCAGACATTGCAAATTGTGGACAAGATGGACTGTTTCAAGAAGTGGCAGAGAGATATCTCTAGATTTGTCTGGCAGGGCAAGAAGCCCAGAATAAAATTTAAGATATCAACTGATGCAAAGGAAAGAGGTGGATTTGCCCCGCCAGACTTTAAACTTTACTATGAATCAGCAGCTTTTTACTGGTTGAAAGAATGGCTACTTCTTGAAAATACAAACATTTTGGATCCAGAAGGCTTTAACAACGTATTTGGATGGCATGCATATTTATGGTATGATAAGGTCAAAGCACATAAAGCATTCAAAAATCATATTGTCAGGAAAGCATTGTTTAATGTTTGGATAAGATACAAGGATTTATTGGAAAATAAAACCCCAAGGTGGTTGTCACCGATGGAAGCGAAAGCTCTGAAAAGGCTCAATATGGAGGCCAAATGGCCAAAATATTGGGAAATTTTGGAACAAGAAGGAGATAGACTGAAACTGCAGAGTTTTGAGAAATTAAAAAACAAAGTGTGAGACTGGCTTCATTATTATCAGATAATGGAGGCATATAATTTGGATAAGAAAATTGGCTTCCAGGTGGAAACATCAAAATTAGAAACAGAACTGTTAGAACCCAAACTAAGATTTTGTCAAAGATGTATAACTTGCTGTTGAAATGGAATACTCAGGATGAAACGGTGAAATCTGCTATAATTAAATGGGCACAAGATGTTGGACATAATATTATGTTTGCTGACTGGGAACAGTTATGGACCACAGGTATGACGTTTACGGCATGTAATGCCCTAAGAGAGAATATTATGAAAATGATATACAGGTGGTACATGACCCCAGTCAAGCTTGCAAAAATTTATCATTTGCCCGATAATAAATGCTGGAAATGTAAAGAAACTGAAGGAACAATCTTTCACCTTTGGTGGACGTGCCCAAGGATTAAGGCCTTCTGGGAAATGATATGTAATGAACTGAAAAAGGTATTTAAATATACCTTCTTGAAGAAACCAGAGGCCTTTCTTCTGGGCATTGTCGGCCAATTGGTGTCAAAGAAGGACAGAACTTTTTTTATGTACGCTACAACAGCAGCTAGAATACTCATTGCAAAGTATTGGAAGACACAAGAACTACCCACTTTGGAAGAATGGCAGATGAAGGTGATGGACTATATGGAACTGGCAGAAATGACTAGCAGAATCCGAGACCAGGGAGAAGAGTCGGTGGAAGAAGATTGGAAGAAATTTAAAGAATATCTACAAAAATATTGTAAAATTAATGAATGATAGAATGATGTTGGATAGCAATTAAGGGTTCCCAGCTGTAATGCTTTAAGAGAATATGAAAAAGGGTTATAAATGGGTTAAAATCTAATGGTAAGGATTTGCTGAACCAATGAATTGAAGATGAATACAAAAAGGGAGGTATGAGGAGGTCCGGGAAATAAGCTAAAGGAATATAAGTAATAGAAAATAGGTGTGTTTTTAACTGTTTTTATTTTGTATTTTTCATTTTTACTGTAATATTTCAAAAAATCTTAATAAATATTATATATATAAAAAAAGAAAAGAAACTGAAACTCTTTCCGCATTCCATGCATTCTTATGGTTTCTCCCCTGTGTGTGTCCGTTGATGTATATTGAGGTGTCCACTATGACTGAAGCTCTTTCCACATTCCATACATTTAAATGTTTTCTCCCCTGTGTGAATCCGTTGATGTGTTTTAAGGTTTCCATTTCGACTGAAGCTCTTTCCGCACTCCATACATTTAAATGGTTTCACCCTTTATGAGTCCGTTGATGTGTTTTAAGGTCTCCATTCTGACTGAAGCTCTTTCCGCACTCAATGCATTTAAATGGTTTCCCCCCTGTGTGAGCCAGTTGATGTCTTCTAAGGCTTGCATTGAAACGGAAGCTCTTTCCACATTCCATGCATTAAATGGATTCTCCGCTTTGTGAGTCTGCTGGTGTAATTTAAGGTCTCCTTTTTGACTGAAGCTCTTCCCGCATGCCATACATTCATATGGTTTCCCCCTGCCTGTGTGAGTCCGTTGATGTGATCTAAGGCCTGCATTGAAACTGAAGCTCTTTCCACACTCCATACATTTATATGGTTTCTCCCCTGTGTGAATCCGTTGATGTTTTCTAAGGTTTCCACTATCACTAAAGCTCTTTCCGCACTCCCTACATTTAAAAGGTTTCTCCCCTGTATGCGTCCATTGATGCATATTGCGTTTTCCAATCTGACTGAAGCTCTTTCCACACTCCATACATTTATATGGTTTTTCACCCGTGTGAGTCCGTTGATGTATTCTAAGTCTATCACTCTGACTGAAGCTCTTTCCACACTCCATACATTTATATGGTTTCTCCCCTGTGTGAGTCTGGTGATGTCTATTGAGGTGTCCACTCTGACTGAAGCTCTTTCCACACTCCATACATTGAAATGGTTTCTCCCCTGTGTGAGTCTGGTGATGTTGATTGAGGTGTCTACTCTGACTGAAGCTCTTTCCACACTCCATACATTGAAATGGCTTTTCACCCGTGTGAGTCCGTTGATGTGAACTTAAGTGTCCACTCCGACAGAAGCTTTTTCCACACTCCATACATTGAAATGGTTTCTCCCCTGTGTGAATCCGTTGATGTTTTCTAAGGTCTCCACTGTGACTGAAGCTCTTTCCGCACTCTATACATTTATATGGTTTCTCCCCTGTGTGAATCCGTTGATGTTTTCTAAGGTCTCCACTATCACTGAAGCTCTTTCCGCACTCTATACATTTATATGGTTTCTCCCCTGTGTGAGTCCGTTGATGCATATTGCGGTGTCCACTCTGAATGAAGCTCTTTCCACACTCCATACATTTATATGGTTTTTCACCAGTGTGACTTCGCTGGTGTAATTTAAGTTCTGTATTCCGCCTGAAGCTCTTCCCACACTCCATGCATTTAAAAGGTTTTTCACCTGTGTGAATCCGTAGGTGTGAACTTAACTGTCCACTCCGACTGAAGCTCTTTCCACACTCCATACATTGAAATGGTTTCTCCCCTGAGTGAATCCGTTGATGTTTTCTAAGGTCTCCACTCCAACGAAAGCTCTTTCCGCACTCTATACATTTATATGGTTTCTCCCCTGTGTGAATCCGTTGATGTTTTCTAAGGTCTCTACTATCACTAAAGCTCTTTCCGCACTCTATACATTTATATGGTTTCTCCCCTGTGTGAGTCCGTAGATGTGAACTTAAGTGTCCACTCTGACGGAAGCTTTTCCCGCACTCCATGCATTTAAATGGTTTTTCCCCTGTGTGAGTCCGCTGATGTATATTGAGGAATCCTCTCTGACTGAAGTTCTTCCACACTCCCTGCATTGTAATCCTTTCTTGTCCATGTAAATCCGCTGATGTGTTCTAAGTTTTCCACTATCAGCAAAACTTTTCCCACACTCCATGCTTTTTAATGGTTTCTCCTCTCGGAGTCATTGATGTGAGCTATGTGTCCTCATTCAATGAAGCATATCCCACATTTCACACATTTTAATTTCTATTCCTCATGAAACGAAAGGTGCCCCATTCCTTGGAATTCTGAATGTCTTCTCCATCACCTTCTTCAGAGTGGGAGGAAAGGAAATCCTGTTTGGGTTTCAAGGAAGAGAACAAAGGGAAAGAGAGCACATCAAGCTCCATTAGCCCCTTCTCTTATATCAACATCTCCTACATTCCCCCGCCTCCTACCCATGTTCCCAATTTTTTGGAAATGAAAAAGCAATGTCATCAAATGATAGTAATGCATCACCACCTTTCCTAATCCTCAACCATCGTTAATAAAGCAGCATTATCTTGGAATACAGCCTTTTCAAATCAATTGTTTCCTCACAGGAAAGGCAGCTGCTCTCTGTCCATGAACAGGCCCTCTCTTTCTCTGGTCCATCGTTCCTTTGGACATTCCCCATCCTCTGCATCATAATCCTGAATCCACCTCTAGATCTTTATGAATCACCTGCACAGTCTCATTGGCCACAAGAGGTCCATGTAGACCATTTTGGGAGGCCCAGGTCTACATCTTCTCCAGGGACTGTGGTCTGGGTCAGTCAGAGAACTAGTGACAAGGCTTGGTGCTTGGGGTCAGCTGAATGGGTGCTCAGGGAAGCTCCTGTTCTTGGAGATGGACCTCCATCTACATGCCTCACATTGCACGGCAACATCAGGAGAAGCAGAAGAAAAGCAGCTGGCACATCGGAATCCCAGACCCCCACTGTTCCTTATAATAATGATGGGCTGCCTGATCTCGAGCCCATCCTAAAGTGACACTGAAAAAGCTGCATAACTGTACTAGTGAAAACTTCAACCTTGAATATGTAGTGTTGAATTATTGATGGCCTGAAGTTGTGTTATTTCTAGAGACATGAATTTATTCCGGTTCTGTCTCAAATATAGCTATTATATTATGTCATGAGGTGTCATGGGAGCGGTAGTACCTTTGGTGGTCCCCACCCTGCACTCAGCTCTCACCTGTGCCTTCCAGAAGCTGTCAGGATGAATCAGGGGCCACAATCCCAGGAATGGCTTCAACCGGCTGGCAAAACCAGGTGAGGAAAGCTGATGGGTCTCAAATCCTTGGGGGGCTGGGGAATTCTGCTGCACCTGAAGTCAAGCCCTGGTGGATGGAGAGGATGAGAAGAACAGTGAATCCCACAGTCAAGAAGGCAGATTCTGCCCATCCTGCAGAGGAAAGTGAAGGGCAGGTGGGATCGTCAACCGGGGAAGGAAGCCCATCGAGAAGGAAAACTCTGGTGCTAAACCTTCACTGCCTCGTGAGTTATGTTCAGGAGAAGAAAAGGCTATGGAGGGAAACCCACACAAATCCAGAGTGGAGTCTCTAAGACGGTTGGATGGTGTCCTGCACACCTTCTTCATTCAACTCCTGCAGCCAAGCTGGTGCCAAACATACTGCTCTGCTTTCCTTGGGACCATATCAGCCGGGCTGAGAAGGGGGTCTGGTTGTCTAGGCAGCCCAGGACCCCCAAACCCACTGCCCAGGCTGGCAGTGCTACAAACACAGCAGTTTCAAGTGGGGAGATGGGCTCAGAGCTGTGTATCAAAGTCTCTCCGATGTGGAACAAGGGAAACAGAAACAAAATTTACATCATAAAGGTAAAGGTAAAGAGACCACTGACTATTAGGGAGCCAGCGGCATACAGCTTCCGGGTCATGTGGCCAGCATGACTGAGCCGCTTCTGCGAACCAGAGCAGCGCATGGAAACGCCGTTTACCTTCCCGCCGGAGTGGTACCTATTTATCTACCTGCACTTTGACGTGCTTTCGAACTGCTAGGTTGGCAGGAGCAGGGACCGAGCAATGGGAGCTCACCGCATCACGGGGATTCGAACCGCCGACCTTCTGATTGGCAAGTCCTACGCTCTGTGGTTTAACCCACAGCGCCACCCGGATCCCATATTTACATCATACGGCACTGTAAAAGTATTCAAAATATTTGTTTTTCGAAGAAAATACCACAATGTATCATGTGGCCCCTTCAAAGCTAATGAAAGTCTTGTGGCTGGAGCTTTTGGGGGTGCAGGACCAAGAAAGCTCCTGCCACCATGATCTTTCCAATTGGGATTCAGGCCTCATCATGGGACTGAAATTGCCCTGGTTGTGCTGGTTGATGATCTCCAACGGGCCAGAGGCTGAGGGGGAAGCTCTTTCCTGGTTCTGCTGGATCTCTCAGCGGCTTTGGAGACCTTTGGCCATGGTGTCCTTCTGGACCCTCTAGGGGAGCTGGGGGCCCTGCTATGCAGTGGTTCCCCTCCTTCCTCCTGGGCCATGTCCAGAAAGTGGTGTTCAGACCCCTGGATGCTTACTTGTGGGGTGCCTCAGGACTCCATTCTCTCCCCCATGCTTTTTACTATCTATATGCAGCCACTGGGAGAGATCATCAGGGGGTTTGGGCTGGGTGTTCACCAGTATGTGGATGATGCCCAGCTCTTCCTTTCTTTTAAATTGGAACTAGTGAGGATGGTGAATGCCCTGTGTGTCTGTTTGGAGGTGGTTGGAGGATGGATGGCGGCTAACACATTGAGGTTGAATCCTGACAAGTCAGAAATACTGTCCCTGGGGGAGGGTGGGGGCACTCCTGGTCCTGATGGGGTAACTGTGCCCCTGAAGGACCAGGTGTGCAGCCTGTGGGTCACCGCCTTCTGGGATCCATTTGTGAACAGAATGTGTGAGTAAACTCTTTTATACTTTTATAGAAGACTGTGTCGTGTCTTATCTTTTTATGAGGGACTAAAGTGGAAATTACCAAGGAAACTTATTTTAGAGGCTTTAGCGAGCCTGAGCAAACGCATCCGCTGTAAGTTTAAAAGGGGGAATGTTACTCTGCTAAATTGTACAACTTGTTTAACACAAGTTGGAAAGGATATAATCAAACAATATATCCTCTCCTGCATTCCTGAACATTCCCAGTGTCATGGTTGCATTTCTCAGGCATAGAAAAGTACGGATCTAAGTACAGCGATAATTCCTAACCTATTCGGTTCAAGAAGGTTCTGGTAGTTTTACTCTATGATTCAAAGCTGGTGTTTTTTCTAGATCATGGGGAGGCAAACTAAGGCCTGGGGGTATAAATGTGATGATGATGATGATGATGATGATGATGATGATCTTGTGGGGTTTTTTAAAGTTATTTTGGAATTCGTACTGCCTATATCAGCTCACAAATGTTATGGGTGGAGAAAATCAACAGGGTTGCCGTAAACTATAATCCCACCCACAAAATCTCATTCACATACAGTCTGTAAATTTGGGAGGTCACACACCTCACCTGTGCTAATACTGGCAGTCTTTGGCCTCCACAGGCACACCGGTGTGTAGAGCCTCCAGTCACAGGCACTGTCTATCATGAAAATGGGTCCTTTGACTGGGAAGATGACACGCAACGTAAATTAATAATGCAGAGTTTTAAAGAATAAAGCTTTACTGAATAAAATAAGCTTCTTCAATAAACAACATGGTTCCAAACAGTTTGACTGAGATTGCATACAGACTCTGCTCAGGGCTAAGACAGACAGACTCTTGCTCAAATCTTACAGAGAGCACAAAGTGGAACTGGCTACTACGTACATGTCAGAATGACTCCACAGTTAGCAGTTAAGCCTGAATAAATTGAGGAGGCCCAAATGACTGTGCAGTCCCTGCACTTCCCAGCCTGCTTGGCTGCTTCTGCTCTCATGTGTCTTTGTCACGTGACAAAAGATTCATGCAGTCGCTGTCATCGGATGCTGATGGGTTGTATCTCAGCTTGTCAGTCACTCTGACTTTGGCTACAAAGAATAGGGGGAACAGAAATGCTTTTGAGGTGCAACTTCTATATCAATCCTGAGAGCCATTCCGTGGACTCTGCACCCTGTTTCTGATGACAGGTGTACATTATCCTCATCCTCAAGGAAAGGACAATCAAAGATGGAAGCCTGAGAGAGAGGAAAAGGCTTCTGGCTGCTTCCTGGGTGGGACTGCGGAAACCAAGAGCCGCTTCTGAGAAGGCCTCTCCCCTCCTCTCTTGTCACGGCTAACAATTGGCCGCTGTTTCTTTAATGCTTAAAAAGCTGCGGGTTGTAGATATAGAGTGAGAAATGTTAGTTTGGTGTTGGGTTGGTTGGTTGGTGAAAGCTGGCAGTGTTGATGTGTGTACAGTTGGTCAGTTGCTTTTGCAGAAAGACTTTTGAGAATACAGTGGTACCTCGGGTTAAGTACTTAATTCGTTCCGGAGTTCCATTTGTAACCTGAAACTGTTCTTAACCTGAAGCACCACTTTAGCTAATGGGGCCTCCTGCTGCCGCTGTGCCGCCAGAGCACGATTTCTGTTTTCATCCTGAAGCAAAGTTCTTAACCTGAGGTATTATTTCTGGGTTAGCGGAGTCTGTAACCTGAAGCGTCTGTAACCTGAAGCGTCTGTAATCTGAAGTGTATGTAACCCGAGGTACCACTGTAAAAGCAGAAAGTACTCTGCAAGGATGCTCTTCTCATGGACTCTTCTATGCTGACAAGGGCCCAAGGACCAGGCTGAGGCCACAAAGGGAGGCCAGAACCTTCTCTTTTCTTTTTACAAATACTGACATCTCTTCCTCTGGACTTCCTCTCCTCTCCAGGGGACCAATGGTTGGACTGGGCAGAATGGCTGTGTCTGGACAGGGCAGGGGCTTATGGGGCAGGAAGAGGATGGAGATTGCAGGAAGGAAGGGGGACAGGACCCCCCACTTTCCAGGGATCCCTCTCTGGTCGCCTTGAAGGGGGGGTCGATTACTGGGCGGGAGAGAGAGGCCAAGGCTGTTCCACCAGAGATGGAGACGTGATATCTCCCCCCCCCCGCTGCCAATGCTGCCCTTCCCTGCCCCAGGGATGCTCCTCTCCCTCCCCCCCCACTTCCTTGACCCCCTCCCTCTCTCCTGAGTCTCCCCTGCATCCAGAGGCTCCCTTGGCTCTGCTCACCCCACACGCTGCGCCCCCATCTCTCCAGCCGGAGGCCCCCCCCAAGAGAAGCAGGGAAGGGACAGGGGGGTCTCTATCCCTCGTGCCCGTTAACCCTTTCGTGGCCCACCTCTCTCTGCGCGGAGCCCCCAGCGCTCCGGGGATGCCTGCGCAGGGGACACGGGGCGATGGGGTCCTCATTGGGACTCCCTGGGTGGGGGTCCCATGCCCGCCCCCGCCAAGGCGCCTAAGGGACCGAGAAAAGCTCCCTTCGCAGCACGCGTGCAGGGATCCAGGCCCTGCCGACGGGGCCCACGGAAGGCGCTTTGGGGAGCTGGCGGGGGTCTCCTGCAACACCCTCGCCCTGCGCGCCCCATCTCTCCATCCTAGCCCCCCCCCCCGACAGGAGCAAGGGAGGGACAGGGGGGTCTCTATCCAGGCGTCTCTCGCGCCCCTTAACCCTTTCATGGGCCGTTTTTCTCCGCGCAGAGCCAGGGGAGACGGGTGAGGGGTCCTCCCTGCGAGGAAAGCCCCCTTCGCAGCACGCGTGCCAGGATCCAGGCCCCACGGAAGGCGCTTGGGGGAGCTGGCGGGGGTCTCTGGGTCCTTCCCCCCTCCCTCTCCTCCCCTCCCCCGCGACCCCTTTACCTCTTTCTCCTCGCTCCCGATTCTCCTTTCCTGCAACATCCACGGGGGGGGGTCCCCTGCCTCCTCCCTCCCCTTTCCCAAAGCGCCCCCCCCCGAGCTACGGGGCAGAGCAGCAATCCGGAGTGGAAGCTCCACTTCCGGGAGAAGAAGGCAGGTTGGGAGGGGGGCTCCCCGCCCCACATTTCTGGAGCAGAAACCGGATTGGAGGAGGAGGAGGAGGAGCAGCAATGTGTTGGGCGTGTGATTTGGGATTGTGTGGGCGGGATGAGAGAAGGATGTACCGGGAGGGGGGGAAAGTGTTGAGCGGGTGGGGGGGGGAGAAGGAGGAGTAGAAATCCCCCCCCGGTCTTCCTTCTGGGGATCAGGAGAGGGGGGAGGGGCTGATCCCGACAATCCAACAGCGAAGTCACAAAATGAGTTCTGCATTTAAATCAGATCAGACTCCGAGTTCGTGTTTTGGCAACATGACAGGTCTGTCAACCGGGATGCCTGAGGATTCCTGCTCGCTGCCTTTTCCTGGCCAGCCTGAGAGATCACTGGAAAGGGAGGATTTCTTGACTCCAGAATCCATCATCGCAGACCCGTTTCATTCAGGCCTAGAGATCTGCTCTTTGGACCAGTCTGCTTGGATCATGGGGATCACCAATGGATCATATGAATCATCACTAGATCATCCGTGATGTTATACCCGTCTCACGGAGGGGGGGGGCTCAGGATGAATCTCCTGCCACGTGACTGGGGGAGTCTGGAGGCTGACGGGGGTCAGACAGGGCTGCTGTTTTGCTCTCCTTACTATTTCAGCTCAGGTTTTACTGAAATGGGTGGATTCATTGAGAAACGGGGCTACGTTGCAAAGAGGCCAATGTGTGTACTTTGTTACCACCCAGTGAGTTGTGTTGCAAAGGCCATTTGCAGAAAGGCTCCTATTGTATCACCTGCGGCTACATGCCGGAGTTTGGGTGTTTTGTGGAAATGTGTCTCTATAAATGCACTTATCCCCTTGCGTTTATAATGGCAAGACATTAAATCCCATGAGATGTGCAAACTGGCTGCTTTTGGAAGCACCACTCTGCAGCCCTGCCTGATGCATGCTTACTTATGTTACCGGAAAATCCGAGGGTTCTTCTTGGGCAAATGAAGACACCGACTAGAGCAATCAGAGCAAAACAGCAGCCAGTAGGCTCGGTCTTTATTAAAGAAAAGACTGTCGCGACAGGACTCCCACCGCCCACAATGTGAAGCAAGATGGAAGCCCCGAACAAAGGGAGACCCCAACTTTTATTAGTTACTAATCCCCTAAGCTACACCCTCAGAATTACATCATATTTACATCATGATTATATTAAAAATAGGAGGAGCCGGGGAGGGGCTGCACAGGTAACCCGAGTGTCCTGACACCTGGCCGGAGCCTCTTCCCCCTCCCCGCATGAGTCATACAGGAGAACAAAGGAAAAAGGCGAAGTTTCCTGCCCCCTGAGGGGAATCTGGTCACAGTCCTTTGTGAGAGTCCGCGCGGAATACACCAAGATATGCAGTTCATTGTGTCCTTGATAGCCTTCTGTCTGAGCCCATCACCGATGGCTATCAAGGTGGTCACGTCTACTAGGAAGGAACACAGAGTACGTGACTGCTCGGTCAAGGGATTATGGCCGCTTGATATCAGACCACCCCCCTTTGATAGTCTTTGTAATATCCAGCAGAATAAAAGTGGTCCGGTGAAAATCTGAAGTACGGCTGATTTTTAGTGAATTTATAAAGAATATTGCCTTTGAAGTTCAAAGCACTTTCGCCTTCAGGAAGTGGCTTGCTACATTTTGATTAGATCAGTCACGGTCAATTTGACTCGGAAACTTTGTATTGAGAGCTGTCAAAGGTAAGGAGGAGAGCGGCAGTAGCCTGCAGTACCTGCGTGGCCGCCGCAAGGGGTGCTGTTTGATAATGCTGATTGGCTGAGGCGGCCGTCGATTGACAGCAGAACTCGGTCGGCCGGTCTACTCACAATACAGATAAGGCGAAGTGGAGCATTTTAGCGGGAAGCTGTCAGGTCAGCGCTTCCTTATTTACGGAAGGCTTATAAGGGGTGGCCCTCTAAAGGGGCACCCCTGGCTTAGGAGGGGAGATACGTGTATGTGTGGGTGTGGTGCTTGTGCAAACACGTGTTAGTGTGTGTGGGGGGGGCGATTTCCGGCGACAGTTCCCCCCTTCGGAGATAAGATTGCGAAGGTAGGAAACCTCGCAATCCTTCTCTCCGCATAAATCAATAAAAATCTGACATGTCGTACCTAGAGTCCTGGGTCTGGAGGTTCTTCAAGGGTCCCATTTCAATGGTTGACGGAATTCCTGGCGTCGGTGGATCTGTAGGTGGTAGTTGATCGCGGGTGAAGGGTAGGAAGGCAAGAGCCGCAAGTTTGACAGCACATTGGGAAGCAGTGGATTGAGCAGCAGAAGAAAGCGATGCAGATGGCAACAGTGATCAGTATTAAAAGGCCGTTTCCTAATAGTTGTTTTATCCAAGCGGACCCGGGTAGCCAGCTCCAGAAGTGTGCATCTGAAAGGCCCTCATGCTGGATGTTTTGAAGCCGTTCCTTTAGTTTGTGGATGTTATTGAGATGACCAGTGATGTTCAAGGTCTGGTCCGAGACGTGTGTGCAGCACTCGGTTCCGACAAGAGCACATACGCCTCCAGTCGACGCAAGGACGTAGTCCAAAGCAAGGCGGTTCTGTATCGAATTTTGCCTGACCTCTGTCAGTTCCGTCAGAATGGATTGGGTGGCTGCATTTGATTCTTCCATAAAGTTCAGCAATATGTCTGTTAATTTGAGGATGTCGACATGGTTGGAGCCTGCTCCGTACGCAGGGAAAAGGGCTCGCCCGTAAGTTTCTCCATTTGCTGCCACATCGGAGAGGTCTGACAAATCCTTTGCCCTCTTATTACGCATCCTTCCGGGGGGAAGGTTTTGGGTTACCCGGATCCCCGGAAGAATTAGTCCAAGGTAGCAGGTGCCCCGGGAGTGGGGGCTGGCCCACACATAGCCGCGGTGGCCGCAAATCCAGAACAACCCTTGCAGGCACGAGTTTATACGACCAGTGAGGAAGGTGCGGAAGAAACATTGGGAAGTTGGGGACGGGTCCCAGGGTTCGGGTAAGCCCATTATGCGCTTCCATGCAGACAGTAGGTTGGGATGGGAGGAGGGCTTGCCTTGGTGCCATAGGGTAATTTTGCCGGTCAAGGTAATGTCAATGGTGTACTTACAGGTGCTCTCGCCGATGACTTTGTCAGTGCCGCTGAACTTCCGGCAGAGATCGCCTGTTGTAGGTCCAGTTAGGTAGATGTACTGGTGAGTGAAGTTGACGGCAGTCAGGTTCCAGGACTGTACATCAGAGGAGAGATGTTGTTGAAGGGTAAGGGGCACCCCGAGGAAAGGTAGGCCGCTGTGGAGATGAGCAGGAGCATTGGCACAGATCCAGCATTCGTTGGTGGTTGTTTGCTTTGCGATCTGAGAGATTAGTTTCACATAGGTGTTGGAGTGCCATGTGGACAAAATGTCATTATTTGTGGGGGTTTCGGATATTGACAGTTCCCCCCTTTGTCGAGGTGCGGTGCCTGCGGGGTGCAGGGGATCTTGACGAAGTAGATAGGTGAGGTTTGTGGTGAGACCGCCGCAACGTTGAGGTCCGGTGGTGTCCCATTCTGTTGGGGTTGTAGCTGAATAATGCCAGCCTTCCAGATACGCCTTGCCGTCCCAGTTGGAGGCTAGTCCAATATCCCAAACGCAGCAATATCTTCGGAGGCAGACTCCTTGTAAGATGGTTTGGCGGGGGGCGGAATCCACTCTTTGGCAGTAGAATCCGTGGATTAGGCGGTCTGTTGGGTGGTTCTGGTCAGTATAAAGTGACTCGCCACCACCATTGTCGAGGAGAGTCCAGTTAAGTGTTTGTTGTGGTGTACCATCAGAGAAGAGTACGTAGGAACCGTTGAGGCAATGTGCACGGTTCCAAGGGCCGTCTCTGGTGAGAATGAGTTTGCCGAGAGGCATGTAAGAGGATGAGCGAATAAAAAGTTCCCATGCTTGGTGTGCTGCAAGGATCGGTGATATGGAGTGTCGAAGGAGGACGCGAGTCTCAGGCAAGCAGAAGTCGAAATCTCCAAGGCGGTCCAAAGTTCCTCTTTTTACCATATCAACTATTCCAAAGTCTAGATATTTGTATTCAGTTTGTAATCCAGGGCAAGAAGCATGTGTGGTCGTGGCGTTCTGAGCGAAAACGGTGGTGAGTATAAGGAGTAATAGGGTGGGTGTGGTGGTGGTCGGCATTGTCGCGGAGGCAGTCGAGCTGTCAAACTGCAGAGCTGTCAAATGGGGAGCGGTGAAGCGGTGGAGCTGTCAAACTGCAGAGCTGTCAAATGGGGAGCGGTGAAGCGGTGGAGCTGTCAAACTGCAGAGTTGTCAAATGGGGAGCGGTGAAGCGGTGGAGCTGTCAAACTGCAGAGCTGTCAAATGGGGAGCGGTGAAGCGGTGGAGCTGTCAAATGCGTGTGTTTTACGGAGTTTGAGGCGAATTGGGGGTTGGTCGTCGCGGCTGGGTGTTGGGATGATCTCGGAGGTCCAATGGGTTGATGACGACGGTTGGTCGGGTCCGGTCTGTTGGGCCCGATATGTGCCCCGAGCTGGTCCGGTCTGTAGGGCTCGATTCGTGCCCCGATCTGGTCCGGTCTGTAGGGCTCGATTCGTGCCCCGATCTGGTCCGGTCTGTTGGCCGTCCTCTGTATCGGAGTCGTCGTCTGGCGGCCGGCGTGGGGTGTAATATGGTGAGTCGTCTGAGACAGGTTCTGGTGCTGATGCGGGTTTGCAGCGGGTGTGATGTAACCAGGCTGTCTTTTCTGCTACCTTAACGGAAGTTGGAGTGGTTAAAAGTACTTGGTAGGGACCCTCCCAGGTGGGCTGTAGGGGTATCTTATGATAGGTTTTCGCTAGTATCCAGTCACCTGGTTGGTAAGGGTGGACGTTTTCGTCGAGAGGGATGTTTTGGCTTGAAGCAGCG